AGAGAGCTTCTGAACCAAAATTTCTAGATCTTCGTCATTGATAATTGAGGTCGGTTCTTAGACTTGGATGTGCATTTGGGGTTTTCTCTTGAAGAAACTGTCAACAGCACTGATTCGGTTGTTCTGGATATTCAAAGATCCTCTTTGTTCTCTGTCATTTTTGGATTCTTTAGAGAGCTTCTGAACTAAAATTTCTAGATCTTCGTCTTTGGAATTGAGGTCGGTGTTTAGACCTGGATGTGCATTTGGGGTTTTTTCTTGAAGAAACTATCAATAGCATACTGATTTTGTTGTTTTGAATCCGTAGCATCAGTTTCCTTCCCAAATTCATAATGAATCTCAAGCAACTAAATGTAGAAAATATATGTAAGTATAAGTACAGTACATACTTATTGCAATCAAGTTTGTACAAGGCATGCCACTCATCCACATACTCACCAACTGCAACTGGATTAGCCAGATACTTCAGGAAAAAATGAAAGTCACACCCGGAAACTGGAAAGTTGAAACAATGGACCAAAGAACCAAGAAATTATTTATTTTTTTCAAGAAGGCAATTTCATGTCACAGATGTTCTATGTTCAAGGGATTCCTACACAAACAGCACACAAAGTCTTAACACGTGAAGTGCCATGGTGGGTTCAACTAACGTACCACTAACATTCGCTATAATGGCCTTGGGGGATAACATATACCCATCAGGCCAGAAAATATATTTGGCTGTGGTGCATCGCTGTTAACCACCGCCCGCATGTATTTCTTATGGAAGTGTGTTTGTAAGTGCTTTAGCAACATTTTCCTAGACTTGACCTCTATTGATTGGTGGATGTATGTGTCCCACCAAGGCCAATATTTACAAAATAATAACTGCAAATATATTATGTTTGTGGCCCCAGGGACTCGGAAAAAACGCTTTCATGGTGGTACTTTACGTGTTAAAGACGTATTTTTTCGGCGTCTGAACGTATGAAGACCAAAAAAAGACGTTCAGAAGACGTCCATAAGATGTAATAAATTCATATTTCAAAGACAACTGAGCTACACTAGCTGCTTTTTTTCTACACACCTATCTTAGCTAACCTAAGTTGTTCTGAATAAAGAACCGTTTTTTCTAACATCTTAGGTAAGTTTATGTCAGTCGAAATTACCTCCCCCCTTGCCTACGCCAAGGATGCCGGATTCCATCCTTAGTCCAAAATGTATATAGGTTAAAAATAGATAAGACTGCATGTTGTTTGCTGGCAATTGGTAAAACCTCGCACAGGAGATTTGGAAACATAAACTCGACAGATTTGAATAAAATGAGAAATTTTGTTGATGGGCTGGATTTCACAGGCACTTTGAGGGTAGGCCAAAACCAAAAACCAGTAAAATTCAGCACAAAACCAGTGAAAGCCAGTGAATTTCAGCACAAAACCCAGCTTAACCAGTGAAAAACATTTCGATAATTCCAAGACCGAAAAGCATATACTGGTAATAATAAGGAAATATTAGCAAGAAAATGTTTTTTTTTTTTAAATCAAAATTCTTGAATTTTTACGAGAATTTTTATAATTATGCCGAAGCCTCAGTGAATAAAACCTAGGAAGCACACTGCATATGGAGACTATTTAGCTCAGAATTCTTTCTTATACATTAACAATGAGAGCTTCATGTCACACAAGGTTTGACTCAGCCTCAAAGGTGCCGCAGATTTTCCCACGGTATCGAAAAAGTTCACAGGCTCAAATGACCCTAACCTACATATTCAGAAGTCTGGTTTCGAAAATAAAAATGATCAATTTTCCTCGATTTCCTCCTCTCTATTTCCCTTTGCTTTAGTGTCAATTTTCAACTATTTCAGGCTTTCGAATTTCTGTTTTTTTCCCTAAATTTCTTTTTATGAAAGACTAAGGAACATTCAAGTAGATCACTTGAGCCTGGGAACTTTTACGATACCGTGGGGTAATTGGCGGCGCCTTTTAGAGTAGGCCAAACCCAAAAACAGTGAAATTCAACATAAAACCAACTTGGAACCAGCTGAAACTCACAAAACCAGCTCGAAACCAGTGAAAACCAGTGAAATTCAGAGCAAAACCAGCTAAACCAGTACACATTGGCTTTTCGGTCTTGGAATTATCAAAATAGTTTTCATAGTTTAGCTGGTTTTGTGCTGAATTTCACTGGCTTTCACTGGTTTCGAGCTGGTTTTCACTGGTTTCAGCTGGTTTTAAGCTGGTTTAGCTGGTTCAGTGCTGAATTTCACTGGTTTTTGGGTTTGGCCCACACTCAAAGGCGCCGCAGATTTCCCCACGGTATCGAAAAAGTTCCCAGGCTCAAATGACCCTAACAAAACCCTAACCTACTTATTCAGAAGTTCGGTATCGGAAATAAAAATGATCAATTTTCCTTAATTTCCTCCTCTCTATTTCTCTTTCCTCAAGGGGTAAGCCGCAAGGGAAATCTGGTGTACAAATTAGGGGAAATCGAGAGGAAATTCAAAAAAATCTAAGGCAATCAGGAGAAATCAATGGAAATCTCAAGGAACTCACGGGAAATCTTGAAGGAATCATGGGAAATCTTGAGGAAATCAGTCAATCTCTAGATCTATAACCCATGCGCAGTTTTCAAAATTTTTTATAATTTGACATTATGTTGGGAAACTCTTGGGCAATCTTACTGGTATTCAGAAGAAATCAGGGAAAGTGATGGGAAATCATCCATGATATCCCCTAAAACCGCAATCTGATGTACAAAAAACTGACCTGCTCTCTTGAATTTTTTCGAATTTCCTCTAAATTGAGAGAATGCAAGAGCCTGGAATAGAGAAAATACTTAGGTAGGTATATTCCTATTGTATTGGTCAACCAATTTCTCCTTTATTATTCTTCTGAATTTTTGTCTATTCTTATCTCTTGAATTTCTTCAAATTTCCCTAAATTGACAGAGTTCAAAAGCCTGGAATAAAAAAATGCCTATATTCCTACTTGTCAACCAATTTCTCTTCAAATTTTTCCCATTCTCATTAATTTTTTCGCTAATTTATTCCTTCTCAATTTTTGTCTATTCCCGGATCTTGAATTTTTTCAAATATCCCAAAATTATGAGAGAGTTCAAGAGCCTGAAATAAACAAATACTTTGATTTCTACTTATGTCAACCAATTTCTTTTAAAAAAGGTCATTTTTGACTTTCGTAGATCCAAAATTCAACTTTCAAAGCTTAAAAATTTGATAATTCTTGATATTCTATACCTATAGATTCTGAACCAACTAAAGACTTTTCAAAGTTTATTATTCAATACTATACATTTGAAAGATACAGAAGGTCTGAAAACTAATAAAGGCTTTCAAGTAATTAAAAATTAATAGAACTGAAATTTTTTGAAGATACAACAACGAAGACTCTGAATTTCAAAGACAAATCTAGAGATTTCAAAGGCCATGAAGACTTTGAAGAAAGATAAAAATTTGAAAAACTTCTGAGGCTAATTTCTTAATTTTTTAAAGAGAAATTGAGAAAAAAAGGAAAAATCGGCAAAAGTTTCCTCGATTATTAATTTTTAAAAGAGCAATTGAGAGAAGAACGAAAAATCATCAAGAGCCTAGCATAGACAAAAGTTTCCTTGGCATTTTTTATTTTCCGTTCTTTTGCCAGCTTGGCTTCTCAACCTTTCCACGATTTTTTTTGTTTTTCTTTCCAACTTTCCAAGGGAACTGATTTTCTTGAAACCTTTGATCTTGTCTTGGCTATTTATCGATTTTCACGTCATGAGATTTCATAATCTGGATCTTGTGACGTAGTTCTCACTCCTTGACTGGTTCCATGGACAACCATTTTATACTGAATCGATACCTACATCAAATTGTCATCAGATTGATAAATGATCACCACATAACATCTTCTTTTTCCAATCTTGGCCTTGTAAAACGTAATTTTATAGTGAAAAGGGTCGATTAACCCTTCTGGGGTTAAACTACAAGGGAAATCTGGTATATAAATTAGAGAAAATCAAGAAAAAATCTGAGGAAATCTAAGGCAATCAGGGAAAATCATAACCAAATCAAGAAAAATCTTGAGGAACTTGAGAGAAATCTTGAGGAAATTATGGAAAATCTTAAGGAAACTATATGTGATTTCTCCTAGAACTGCAATCTGGTGTACAAAAACTGACCTGCGGTTTACCCCTCGTCTTGCCTTTTGTGACAATTTTTAACTATTCCAGGCTCTTAAATTTCTGTTTTTTTTTCTTCTAAATTTCTTTTTATGAAAGAATAAGAAGCATTCAAGTAGAACTTTTTCGATACCGTGGGGGTAATCGGCGAAGCCTTTGAGGGTGGGCCAAACCCAAAAACCAGTAAAATTGAGCACAAAACCAGCTTAAACTAGCTGAAACCAGCTTGAAACCAGTGAAAACCAGCTCGAAACCAGTGAAAGCCAATGAAGAATGAAATTCAGCACAAAGCCAGCTTAACCAGTGAAAAACATTTCGATAATTTCAAGACCGAAAAGCCAACGTATACTGGTAATAATAAGGAGATATTAGCAAGAAAATGTTTTTGTTTAATTCAAATTCTTGAATTTTTATAATTTTGCCCAAGCCTCAGTGAAAAAACCTGGGAAGCACACTACATGGAGACTATTTGGCTCATAATTGTTTGTATAAGAAGACATTAACAATGAGAGCTTCATGTCACAAGAGGGCGAAAAATATTTCTAGAAGAAATCTGGACAAGCTGTAATACTACAAAAGTGACAATGGACTTGGAGAGTGTACCACAAAAAATGGAAAAATAGGTTGGATCTCAACCACATTTGTCAGAAAACGTCTCTTCATTGAACTTCTAGCCACTTTGATCCTAGATGGTTGCTTATATCTTTTACTATGTTAGATTTATTTCAATTGATATATCGTATTACACCTCTTGATTCATATTTTAAATTGAAAATTATCACAAAGTTCCAATTTGGTCCAGGTTTTATGTACCTAAATTGCAACACAATGAAATAAAACAATTATTTTTCTGATCGAATATTTTAATGAGACAAGTAAAGAGAGAGAGAGAGCTGCTAAAAGCTTTTCTATTATATACAAAGCTGGAAAAATATTTACAAATAATATTTGAAAACTTCATATATGTATCTATATATTTGATTTTACCTGAAAGGAACACTGTGAAAATGATATTCACACTTATGTTTGTTTGTTTTGTACATACACATTCAAAGAACTTCAAAACAAAATACCAAAAATAGTTTATATGTACTAATAACTTATACAATTTTTATTTTATTCATATATAATACTTATTATTTTTAATATTATGCACCCCTAATAGCAGCAAAAATGACTCAAAAGCAGAAAAATCAAAAAAATATATAGCTCTGTTGCAACTAAATAAAAAATTATACAAAAAAAAAAACAAACTAAATTCTAGCCTACATTACCTAGACCTAGATAATACGTAAAGTTTGAAACCAAAATACATTCATTTAGGACTCTCAGAATAGAGTCAGCTTATACAAAAATAGGTACCTAAAAATAATATTAAGCGTATGTAAAAGAAAATAAATAATATAATAATTTCAAAATATAACGTTTTACAAATGGTTTGAAAGAGTCGTATACTACCAAAAATCACTTGTACAAGAGTATATAATAACGTCAAAATATGTTTATTTTTTGTTTCCTTAAAAATTACAAACAATACTTTAAAGTTCTCTATCTATACAAGTTAGTTTTTGATTTTTTCTACAGGCTATTTTATTATTAAATATTAATTTGAGTACATTGCACAATACAACACCTAAATGCCTATGCCTCTTTTTATACAATAATTTGAAAATCACAAAGACAAAATTTTTGCTTCCTGAAAAAAAAATCTCATAGTCCATATTTCATTCTTGAAAAATATGTAAAACCATTCAATAATAATTTTGTCAGAGGATTTTTGTGTGTGGTTTTTTTTGCGGTTATTTGTTGATTATCGTGTTAGAATTATATTGCTGAAGCTTCAGTTTATTGCAAACTGTGGCGTAAAATACTTCAGCCGGCAACGCCGCTCGAGAGTCGGGATAGCAGCCCTCGGCGCAGGGCCCAGGAGGAGTTGATATCAGGTAAGCTTACCACAGACTGCTACACAAACTACATTAAATTTGTATAAAGATGTGAATTTTTAGGGGACTAGCTGAAGATACCAATAAGCATGAGAATTACATTTTCCATTTAGGCCAGAAATAGCTTTTTTCCCAAAAAGTGAATACCAAAGAAAATGGACTAGCGCAGGAAAAATTACTTGATAAAAATTATTTTCTGCTACTAGTGTAACAGAGTACAGTGTGATAGAACCAATATTTTTCGTACACTTGCAAACAAAACAAATAGGATTCAAAATAATAAGAACATAAACAAAAAAGTTGTGAAATTTCTAAAAAAAAAATACTTTTTTCAAGGGTCTCTTAACTTGAGTCTTTTCTTTTCACCCTTTCTTTTAAATGAGAAAAACAATTTCCAAATCTGTCTGGTAGGTACCAAGGCCGTAAAAATTACTTTTCCTGACTTTATACACAATGGGTACTTACTCGATGGTATATGTGAAACAGTCAAGTGACAAATCAACAAATAAACTCAAAAAAAACCCACGATCGTTCCAAAATCGTACCTTAAAAATATCAAAAATTCCAAATATCCTAGTCCAATAGTGCTCAGTCATTGTTAGGTCATAAAATACATTAAAATTGAGGCACCAATTAGAACAGTCCAAACGTTTCATTAGAATTGTGGTTGATTGTGTGAAAAATTTTTGAGGTACCTTATTGTTAAGTAAAGCAGACCCGTAAAATGACCCTGGCTATTGGTCCTAATATCAAAATATATAATTTTTTTCCTGTATCTATGCGATACATTTTATGAAAACACATATATTTTTATATACAAAAATATCAAGATTTTTATGTACAAAAAAGAAGGAAACTAGTATTTTAAAAAATTTGCCACAAAATTAATTATTGTAATAATTAAATTCGTATATGTATTGTATTGTGTTTTGAAAAATGTGGCTTCTTATTATTCTAGTAAACTTAACTTTGAGGCAAAATAAACTTAAACCAAAACAACTGCCTTATTTTGATAGATTCATTTGGAAGCACTCATCAGCCAACCAAATGAGAAAGGAAAACAAATAAAAAATTTCTAAATAACATAGCACCAAAAATCACTAGAGAATTTTTTAAACATCAATATAATTATTATATTATTGCTCATTGACGCGATTGTTTCAATTTAATTTAATTAATCGGATTTTGTAAAAGGTATTCCAGGCTCCATTTTCAAATTGAGACTAGTAGGATCGTAATACCCTGCCAAATAATAGATGTCGTTGTTGTCATAGATGGTAGCATACCTTGCAGGATCGTTACCCAGTTTTTTTGTGTAATCTTTCAACGGTACCACTTCGCATTTATGGGAGATTGTCTGCACATCATTTTCGTCTATGTGTGGAGATTCAAACAAAGCACCCTGAAAATTAATAATTATTATAATGTAATTTTTTTGCTATTGTCAAATTCTTACTGGATATTGAAGATTCGATGGACATCCAACAGTTTCTTCTGGGTGATAAAACCACTTGACTTTTACCACCATCGTTCCGCAAAGCTCCCACATGGCTTCAATTCTGCCGATATAAGGCCTGTCGGGTCTGCCGGTGGATAGAAATACTGCAGCGTCACCCACCTGAATAAAAATTGAACAATCGAAAAATGATACGCAAATATCATACGTAGAACAATATATGAAAATGTTTAAATTATACACTCAGCTTGATATGGTAATTGACACTTCAATGGGTTTGAACAAACACGAGGGAAACAATGAGGGTGAATTATAACAGAAATAACAGTTTTGGGCTTAATTATTATGGGTTTTACTGGTCTATTCTAAGTGAAAGGGCTTTGATTGGAGGAAAAACATGTGGCAAAGTTATCTGAATGAATTTGATTGGTGAAAAACGGCATATAACGTCATCAATTTTGGTCTAGGCAATGGCACATTTCGATAAACTGAAGTTTAGTTCAAAATATAAACTAATTCGGAAGTTCGACCCATGGTTTTTTCTAATTTTGACCCTAAAAATTGCTGCAAAATCACCTTTGAAGGTTTTTGAGAAATACTTTATTTAATAAGAGCAGGTTGAAATTTTTACAATTCATATGTTGTTAGGACCTAAACCAATATTAAAAAACCCGATTTTGTTACGATAAATTTATCATTTACGTAACATGTTCCATCTCTTCTTATTTTCATTATTAAGTTGTATTTTTCTCATTTCAGAATCAACAAAGTAATAATTCCAAAAATATCCACAAAGTTCAAAATAATGCCAATGCTGCCATCTATTCATCATGTGCGTAAAATGCTTGTATTTTCATTGAAAGAAATTATATTTTTTTCTGTGACGGGGGAAAAGTAGACTTTTTGTACCTGTTGACAGGGGCAAAAATGTCACTTTTTCTCCCATGGGAAAAAAGTGATTTTTTTTCCCACGAGAAAAAAGTAACAGGTACCAGTCAATTTTTTTTCCCGAGGGAAAAAAGTAACAGGTAGTGTATTATACATGGGAAAAAAGTAAGATTTTAGGGCTCGCTGTGTTGTCTCCCTCCGCTTCGCGTCGGGAGACAAACCCCACCTCGCGCTAAAATCTAGTACTTTTTTCCCTTGTATAATAAATAACTATTATCTCACTTTTAGGCTTTAGCAAATGGATATATTTCTGTCTTTTTCTAACTTCTGATTCTGAAATAATCATTTTTTGGCTTAATGACCTAATTAATTAACAGTTTTTTTTTTTGACATAACCTTAATTTAAATTATTATAATTTGTAAACAATTGAAATAATTCTAGTGGATTTTTATCTATTCTCTTTTATTCCACGCGGTTTTTCATTGTGATTTCATTGTAAAGTGAATATGATCTTTTGGGTGTACTCGTCTGATTGGTTGAACTGGCAAGCGAGTCCTTTTTATTTTTGGTAATTTTTGCTCTGTATTTTTGGATTCTCCCTTATAGATTTTTCAATACATTTTGCTATCAATTCATATTATCATATCATTGTTAAGTTATTACCTTTTTATCTAATTGTTGGCTTCCATTTTGTGTGAGTGCTGATTGGTAGTGCCACGTTTATCTGAGGTAAGTCAATTCAGATTTTTGGACTTTAAATAGGTACCTCTGCCCTAGTTTTCAGAATCAATTGTTAGTGTGGGAAAATTGGACCATTTGCTCTAAATAGAGTCGGTGAAAACCAAATTTGTGTGTTTATCAACTCTTTATTGAACCCAGGCAGAGGCCTGAATAGCCATTTTCTGTTTGACTCCGTCAATTATTATCTCGACTAAAGGGTGTAATATTTTTTAATAGAAATCCAGACACGTCAAAAATTCAGTTAAAAAGTTTTAATTAAAACATCTCAAGAATTTTGACATATTCTGGATTTGATTGATTTCACCGTCAGGTTTATTTTGTAGTATCTATGGTAGCTATCTTAATTTGAAAGAAAAATTTTGTCTATTTGGGGGAGAATCCAAAGATGCAATTTCTTATTGTTTTACCTCGTTTTATTCATATTTTTGCCTGCCAGAGCTGCTGTCAGGAAATCAGCATTTTGCTCAATCATAACAAGCATTTTAATTTAATCTTGTTGTTATTATTTTAATTTTTTTTATTATCTTACCATTATTCTCAATTATTTAATTGTATTTTTTTTATATTAAATTTTTTTTTTTTTTCAACTTGCAATAGCTGTTCATACCTGATTCTATTGGAAGGGAGTGTCTGTATAACAATCGTTTTATATTAAATTCCAATTTCAATTTCCTTTGCAAGACACTCACTTTTTGACAAAATTCAGGAATTTAATATTCCAAATATTGGTGAACCTAATACTGCCTTATTCTTTTCTGGGTACCTACTTGACATAAATATCACTGTTTGGAGTCTGGATCAGCTGGAGTAACGTCACCCCAGCAATCTATCCTCTTCCTGGATACAGGAAACAACACGAAGAGCTCCAGTTCACGAAAGTGAAACCCCAACACCCATTGAAGTGCTCCGGATTGGAAAGGTATATGGTATCAGATTCACCAGAAAAACCAAGCTGCCAAGACCAATGAACTATAGCCAAAAACTGGAATGCGCGCACATTGCCATATCTGCCCAAAAAATGAAGCCATGAAAGACAGATGCCACAAGGGGGAATGTTGTTTTTTTCTGTTGCTCGCTGACATATGACGTTTTCGAAAGTTTTGTCATATTTTCCTTCACAGGTTTCATCAATTGGAATACGTGTTGGAAGCAATTTTCGCCATTTAACATAATGAGTGCGACAAAAACAGGTATCCGCAGCAGCTGCACTAGGCTTCACGTTCTTCCTTATGTGTTAGCATTCCAGTTTTTGGTTATAGTTCATTGGTCAACACTAAAATTTTACAGAGAGTAACATTAGGGACATAAAGCTTCCGTATTTTTTGGTCGGTATCCGTATCGGTATCGTCCTGCGCATGTGCAGAAGCGATACGGACGCCGAGATACCGTACGTACAACGTAACGTTACGGCCCTCTCGCGGTATCCGTATCGGTAACGTATCTTGACATTCCTGACGCATGTGTCAAATTTTAAATGAATATAACCTCACTTTTCTTCCGGGTTGATTTAATTTATTTAGTTTATACTTTCTTGAGTTTCTTGTATGTTTAGTGCTTCTCTATCGCAAAAAAAATAACAATTTTATATAAAAACGCCGGAGTTTTGACACGAAAATTACTAGGTTATGAGATGCGTTTACGTTTACCGGAACAGAGAGCGCTTTAACAGCCTTTTCGCTTGTCAACGTATCTAGTTGCGTTACGGATACCAATACCGATACCGGCGAATTATTTCAAGTAGCTTTATGTCCCTATTGACTGTTATTATATGTTACTACTTATCTCTGGTTATTACAGAACATTGTAAACGAAATAAAATTATTGTTTCTTGGATTTTGAGTGGTTTCATTTGCACATAAAGGGACTACACGTTATCTTAATTTTTTTGAATTCCACGACCCTAGGTTATCTTGTCTCAAAGTAACAAATTTCAAATTAATTTGTAACAAATTGGCGCCCAACGTGGGGCGCCTAAACCAATATTAAAAAAAACCAAATTTGCCATTTCCAAAGTGCTCTGAGAGCAGCGGTGTACCCAAAAAACCATGAAATTTTCGGACTTTTTTCAGTTTTTGCTCAATATCTTAGTGAAGGAAGGATCTGAACGTTTGTCTCTTCAGCGCCTAAACCATTGAGAAGAACGATCAAGTCGACGTTTTCTCCCACTATGACGACCCGATCTGCTACTGCTCTTTTTGAAAGCGCCGTCATGACAATCTCTCGATCCGCATCTTCTCCGGCAACAGCCACCTCTACTCTCTTTTTCTGAAAGGCGTCACAAAAAAGAGTTATTAGGCGTCTCTTATTGTTCTCATTGTCCAATACATGCTCTTGAGCAATTTGAATTATTGTGGATTCATCGAACGTCAATTCGTAGCTGGAATGAGCTGCGTAGTGCCAGAGTCGTTCCGCTGTTTTGGTGTTTTTTTTTTGGGGGCAGCTATCAAAAACAATGGAGACATTATGCCCAAACTGGTTACGGACGTAGGTGGTATATAACACGCCAAAAGTGCTCAAACTGTGCTCTTCCGCTGCCACACGACCTTGTGCAAGAGGTAGCCACCATCCAAAACTGGCATCTATTGGTGTGTGGCTGGAAAGAGGAGTGAAGGCGGAGTACAGAGTGGATTTTGTGACTTTGCGCATCCCGTGTTCGTTGAACAAAGCCATCGGGACCGGAGCCAACTCATACTTGAAGTCGTCCTATAAATCCTGTTCAGATTGCTTTGCAATACACACTCGCTGGAAAATTGTAAACGGATCCACAGCTACTCTTCTGTTTTTGTCCGGCAATTTAACGAATGAGATGATCGATGCCAGCATGGTAACTTTGTTTTTCCGTTCTATTACTACTTTGTCGTACATTTGCCCATCACTCCCTCCGTTCCAACTCTCTGGGCCGTGTGGCAGTTAATCTCAGGACCTGCTAATAAACTACTACTGATAGAAAGCAAACTGTCAGTTTTGAGAGCGGAGAGCAAACCAGTTTTTGAGTTTTTCCACATCACTGTTATCTCGGATGATTCGAGAAGGTCGCATGTCTACATGCTGCTCCCCATTAGGACATGAAATGCTGCAAAAACTTTCAAGTTCTTCACATATGTTCACCATAAACACCATTCCTGTTGTCCACCTTGCCAGCACACTGTCGGAGATTCTCCTTCCTTGGGTTGTAACAAAACGGCCCTAAAAGTCCTTTTTTTTTTCGCTTCGTAATACAATTTATTGGTTTTTTCCCAGCGAGATTAAGTCGCATGTTTTGCGACCGATAAGAATCCCAAAAGCGTCATCAAGCTGCCAATATAAATAAGCCTGTGAATCTCCTAGATTCATTCAGTTCTGTAACGAAGTTCTGGTGTTTAGTGTTGACGTCTTTCTGCTGATTCTCTTTCCCAGACCTTAGGTAATGTTTCAATTTTAAGTATCTTAATTTATTCGTCATGATTGTTGTTTTCTATTATTTATTTTCTCCCCTGTGTAAAGAACAAAACCATTGGGGCTAGCTTCACAACCCAAATCTCTCTTCTAACATGTATCTTACCCTGAATAACAAGGCCGTTTTGTCATTCCCTTGTCGAGGACGCCCGTGACTTTTACCCACTAAGAGTTATAACCTAGTCTTTATTTTCTGTATCTTTTACTATCATTCAAAAGCTCTGTGTGTAATTTTGTTTCATTTCATTTCAGTAAACATTGTTAATAACCTACTGTATATTCTTTGTTTTTCTTTCATTTCCTTACTAAGATTTACCATTCGTCCAATAAATCATTGTTAGAGTTTAGTAAGAAAAACTGATTCTTTTATTTCCTTTGGAAAACCCCGAGCTAGCATTCCAACTAACTGCGTACAGCTCAGGTAGCAAGAAGCCGCACTGGAAGAGGCAATCTAATCAGATTACTAAAAAGTATCCGTTCAAAGTTACATAGATTTTCAGTGGGACTTTAAACAAAGTCCCTGGCGGCACGCTACCGCAGTACAAAAAGGCCTTTACCCAGTGCTAAAATAAAGTCTCCCTTACCCAACCGTCGCAACCAGGTGGCGGTGGTAACAGGGTCAACCCACCGTAGATCTTCGTGGATCGCATCAGCGTCTGTTCAATTGTAAGGTCTGACCACAACCCAAATCAAAACTTGTCAGACCGGCGAATGGCGAAGGATCCTCTTGTGAACATGTCGTAGTCACTTTTGTCCATCCGATCATTGTAGAGCCATCATATCCTAAAGGAACAGGTGCGCGCTCTTAGCGTACAAAAAATGTCCAGCTGCATGGGAAAAAGAAAGCATCTTGTGGACAGTGTACAAATGAAAGATGCAATCACCAGCACGCTCTGCCTGCATGAATAGTTTGATCAAAGTGGTCATACGAAAGTATTGGACCCACAACTCTGATGTTGGACCATTTACATCAATTTTCTCCAAGGCACTTTTAAATTTTGCCCTTAGTATTTGGTAGGTATCAATCTCTTCTGCTGACATAATGAGAGACCTCTCAGTGTTTTTCAGCAACTCTTCAGTATCGTCTCGCTCTTCAGGGTCCTTATTCTTGAGATAGAGTCGTTACTCTATCCCAGGAGAACGAATGTTCCGTCTTTCTCAATGATAATATGAATAGCAAAGACGGAACACACGTTCTTCTGTTAACGCTGCTCCTCTGTTTCAAGAATAAGGACCCAGGAGTCATGTCAACCTCATCAAAAACAATGCCGGCCTGTGTGAGGTTTGTCAAAATGTGAGCTTCAACAGCTCGTGAATATGCGTGCCCATTCAAAATGTTGTCAACACTGTGGAGTGCGTAGATGATGGTTAGTGTCTCTTTTAGACGACTCCCAGCAAGAGACGAAATCTACCAAACCATACAACTACACTGTTCAACTCCGGGTAAAGTTCACTCTCGACAATATCTCTTGGTTTTATGAAAAATGGGTAAGTGAACACCGTATTGTAGTCAGTTGGAGGGGCACAGATAAATGGAAAGAAAAGGATTTTTGAGCGTGAAAACTGAAGCCCGTCTGTGGCTTGCTCCATAAATCCATTCCATCGCAGCTTCCCATACAACCATATTAGGTCAGGAGCCGAGGACAAAACTTTACCATCAATTTCATAATATGTTCCTTGCAAATCCTCAACCATGATTGCTGCCAATCATGTTTTTGACTCGCAATACTGCACTCGAGGGAGTCACGCACATAATGCCTCCTATCTCATGAAGCGTGTTATCACCATCCAGCGTGTTAATATTCATGTCTGCATTGTCAAAGACAAATTGGATAAAAGCTCCTTCTTCTATTGACGGTGAGGATTCATCTCGTAAGATTGCCGTTTAAGTTTCAAGCTGTACAACTGCTGAATAAGAACAGGAAAACCCCAGCGCAGCGCACATATTCATCAGATTCAGATGTTTGGATCCATATTTTTGGTAAAAGTAGGTACCAATTCCAATCAGCAGCTATCAGAGCTTGAAAAAATGACACACACACTTCTTCTTTCATGCTTCAAGGCGGCCACCTTTGTGTTTGACTCAGGGATGACAGAATCAACATTGGTGAAAAAATCGTCCAAGGAAGGATACTGACTGGTGTCGATGTCATACACTTTTGTGCTGATATCTTCCACGATGATTTCTGCTGCTGCCTTCACAACTCTCAACCGCTCTTGCTGCGCATCGCCTTTTTGGGCCTTGTACCAATGGTCATACAAAATTTTACGGCCGGTGTTTTTGAAGCAGACCAGTGCACTTTTGTTGGAGCCTATCTCCACTATGACTATGTCATCACCAAAACGTTTTTGGAGGTGATTTTTCCTAACTGTATGGACCACATTTCTTTTTGCCAAGGGCAGTTTGCTTTGTTGCTGGAGCAATTCTTCAGTGATAGCATCACCACATAAAAAGCAAATCCCTCTCAAGGTAGGAGCCAGTTTACTTCATGTCGATGAAATTTTCGATTGGGAAACAGAATCCCCTCCTCGACGAATTGAGGCTTCAACGTTACACACAGCTGTATATTTCTTCCTGCATGTATCACGAACGCTGACTTGGTTGCAATTTTGAAAGAAATTTTTATTTTCTGTGTGACCACGTTTTTGACTCACTTCAGTTAGTGTTCGAATTACTCGTTCTTTGATGATCATAAGAGTTTTGATTCAAAATTTGGTCCTGGAATTGCGCAGAACTACTTGCGTACAAAAAATAATGGAGGACTGTTTTAATACTAGCTGAAACCGATTCGGAACCAAAAAACCGAAATATCCCCCAGAGCAAAAACTGAGAGAATGGGTTCTAGAACAATACCTGAATTATTCTTATATAGTTTTTAATAAACCAAATGGCTTTCAACACAGTTCGATTACGATTCTGAAACAAGTAAAAAGCGTTTTATAACATGCGCATGTGCAGACTGATTCCAAACTAGTTCTGACTTTTGAGTGAAACCAAAGTAAAACTATAAGGTCTGTCTGTTCTCACAGAAATCACAAAACTAGCCAAAGCCAATTTCATTGGTTGAAAATAACCAGAAAACTGGTGGTTGGCGATTTGCACCAATCGAAAACGCTCTGACTGGTTTGTGATTTCTTTGAGAAGAAACCTCATAAATCATTCTGAAAAAGTCTCCATCACTGAGGATCCTAGTAAATAGCAATTCTATTTTAGTGACGTCACGTTATCCTACATCTCTGAAATGTAAAATAGAATGGGCTCTTCTACTGAAATTTAAATACCTATGTAAATTAGGCATGAAATTTTAAATTAGGAATCTCTGAGTTTTAAAGGGAAAAAATTTAAAAGCTCTAAAACCCGTTTTTTGGGTACACCGCCGCTCGCACAGCACTTTGCAAATTGCAAATCTGGTTTTTTGATATTGGTTCAAGTCCTAATAACGTAACAACCTATGAAAAATTCAGAACAACCGGACCTTTTGCAAGCACTGATGTACATACATCTTGATTGTTTTATAAACCCAGCTGCAAGAGATTTATGATTTTCTTCTCCAGTTTGATTATCAAAAAAAAAACCTTCTTTTGAAATCACTTTCAACGTTGGATGATAAATACTTTTAGCCATAACAGCAGCTTCAAAATTCATGTTTGGCGTTTCTTGCGAAATATTTACCCAGACGGAAGTTGATAGGTTGCCATTAAAGGCATTCATAGAAAGTGCCTTTATCATTGAACATCAACAGTTTGACCGAAATTCCCAGTGTTGTATGGAAAAATTGACTTTCCGCACTTAATAGCAGTGCTGCAAATTGCCTGAGAATTTATTTTTGGAGACAAATCAAATAAAATATAGCTTTATTGCCCAATCCTCATTGACAAAAGCTAGGACAAGAAAGTTAAAAATAAGGAATAAATTCAGTAGGTACTGCAATTCAGAGAAGACAGTCAAAATCTAAATATAAAGTAGGATGATGATGTACAGGGTGTCCAAGATTTGATGGGTTTAGCGGGTTTCGGGTACCACTTGCGAGCCTCGATTTTCAAGAGAAGTTGACCGGTGAAACCCGCATCTCGATGTCTCGATTCGTTTTAAAGCTACAAGGGGAAAAGTTGACCAAATTTTCATAAATAAAAAAGTTATAGCCCCCCTGCCAAACTCTAAACTTTTCAAAAACCCCTCGTAGCATAAAAACGACTCGACATATCGAGATGCAGTTTTCCCCAGTAATTTTCTCTTGAAAATCGAGACTCGCAAGTGGGGATCAGATTTTTTACAACTCCTTTAGAAATACCCGAAACCCCCCAAAACCATCAAATCTTGGACACCCTGTACATATACATTGAAACTTGAGAAAAATAATTCCTCATGATAAGGAAAAATCCTCGTAATAAGAAAAACAAGCAAATGCTGATGATAAACAACAACAAATGAAATGATAAACTGTTATATGTATAAAAATCAATTGTCAAGATATTGTACTTATGTGCTTTTTTCTCATTATCAAATTACATACCGTTATCGTTTCCTTTCCCCTCTGTATAGACTTATAGAAGCATTTCTTGGATTTGCCTTTAGCCCTTTGCCTCTTGTACCCTTTCCCAGACCAATGCCACAGTTGCCTGGCCGGTAAGAACGCGCTCATTTTGCTTCTGCTCTCGCAAGACTCTTGCCTGTCTCTGAACTTTTTGGATTTCTGCAATGTCATTATTTGAAGTTTATACAAACACCAACTTATTCACTTACTTTATCTGCAGTTGCCTCTAAAATATCATCCATAGTCACTTCATCGTCCGGATTGGCTGGGGCTTCATAATTGGGAAAATCATCTGCACTGCTTTGTTGCGAAGATTCATCATGGTTTGTTTCAGGTTTTTCTTGTGATATTTCAACGTTTTCTTCCATAGGGTTGGTTTCTTCGTTGATAATTTCACAAGTGAATTCGTGCCTGAGAGAATTTTCCGATTCCGTTGTAGATCTTTCATGATGCTTGCGGTGCTTTCTGTGCTTCTTGTGATGCTTCTTATGTTTGCAAAACTCGTCGATGCACTTGTGCTTCTTTTTCTTCTTTTTGTCTTCGTTCTTCAGTAGTTTATCCTTAATTTTTTCTCGTTTCTTCTTTTTTAGGCGCTTCTTTTCTTTGTGATGTTCAATTTCTGATGAGGTAGGAAGTATTGCTTTTGAAGGTTCTTGTTTATTATTGACTGTTTCTGGGACGTGTTTTTCTTCTGTGGAAATACTTGCTGAAGTTCTTCGTCGCCGTTTGCGTAGGCTAGACAAGGGATTAGGATCATATTCTGTAAAAAAAAATATAATTTAAATAAAATTTACAATATAAATATATATAAATAAAGTTTGTGAGGCTTTCGCGGCCCTGGTTTATTGATAAAGTGTTTTCATTGGGGCTTAATGGCCGTCGTAAGTTCTTCCTGGCGTTTCGCTAGCATCTTTAGAAGTGCCTCCATGTCCGATTCTGGTAGCAGACTGACGCGTTCCACGTTCCTCACCGTAATTTGTATTTATGTATTAGTGGATGTAGTGGGGGATGGGCGGGGCTTTGCATCACGTGGCTAATCTGATGAATGAATTAGCAAAATTCCATAGAAATTATGCGGAATTCCCCAAAATTTACGCGGAATTCCATTGAAATTACATAGAGTTTGAAATAGGTATAAGAAATTAAAGGAGTAATGACGTGGAATTCCAAAAAAAAAAATTAATTTAAGTAAAATTACATGTAATTCTATAGAAAGTATTCAAAATTTTATAAAAATTATGCGAAAATTCAGTGAAATCAAATTGAATTCTGGGAAAATGACGTAGAATTCGTTGCTTCAATCAAATTACATAAAAACCCATAGAAATTATGTAGAATTCCATAACAATTATGCAAAATTCCATAAAAATTATGCGAAATCCCGTAAAAACTAGGAGGAATTCCATTGGAATTATGCTGAATACCATGGAAATGATGCCTAATTTTATACAAAGTATCCAGAATTTCATTGAAAATATGCCAAATCCCATTAAAATTATGCGGAATTCTAGTAAAATTAAATGGAAAACGACATAGAATTCCAAAAAAAGCGTTGAGTTTCAAAAAAATCAAAATTCCATAAAAATTATGTGGATTTAAGTCGTATAGAATTCCATCGGAATTCTATAGAAAATATGCAATATTCTATAAAAACTATGCAAACTTCTACTGAAATTATGCGGAATTATGTGGAAATTATGCGGAACTTCATGAAAATTGTGTGCAATTAAATAAAATTCCAGTGAAATTTATTAAAATTCCAGGTATACGACGTAGAACTCCAACCAAAAATATGTGGAATTTCTGTGGAATTCCGGCGAAATTATGAAATTCCGATGAAATTCCAATAATTTTCCTGGACTTCCAATTAATTTCTCCAAAATTTTAAATTATTCTCGTGAAATTTCAAAAAAATATATGATATTATTTAAAATTCCTGTGGATTTCCGAGGAATTCTTATGAAATTTCTTGCAATTACAGAAAATTTCTTTGAAATTACATGGATTTTTAGTAGAATTCCATAGAATTTATATGGAATTCTGGTATACATTTTTTTTTTTTTTTTTTAATTCACTGAAAAAAAGTATTTTTCCTACAGCCGTGCGGAAAAATCGATTTTCCGCACTGATATGCGTGCGGAAAATGAGTTTTCCCATACGGTGCGGTAAAACTTTTTTTTTTGACATATCAGTGCGGAAAAAGTTTTTCCGCACGGCTGTCAGTGCGGAAAAATTTTTACCGCACTGATATGTCAAAAAAAAAAAAGAAAAATTTTACATTTTTTCGCCTGTAGGAAAAATATTGTACCTAACACTTGCGGAAAATATTTTTCCGCACTTGTTAGGTAAATAGCTATTTCCAGTACATTCCAGAAACCTTGACACCATCGTTACGGTTGCGCTGAATTTTACCTTATACTTCAAAATTCAGGCAAATTTTTATTAATCAATTAATAATAACTATTGAAATTTGAAATAACTAATAAGTAATAAGCTACAAACAACTTACTCAAAAATCTTGTGAAATTATTTGGGATTTCAGTGGAATTAAGTGGAATTCCGATGAAATTCCATTAATTTTCCTGGAATTCTAGAAAATTCCTGTAAAAATTACATGAAATTCTCGTGAAATTTTAAATAATTTTACAAGATTTGGGAGTTCAGTGAAATTCCAGTAAAATTATGTGGAATTTCGAAAAAATTTCAATGAAATTCCATCTATTTTCCAAAAGTTCCACGTAATTCTCCCAGAATTCCAAGTTATTCTTGTAAAATTACAAAAAAAATCCCCTAAAAATTACACTAAATTATCATGCAACTTTAAAAAATTCTTGTGAAATTATTTAGAATTATAGTGGAATTACGTGGGATTCCGGTGAAATTATGTGACATGTGACACTGCGAAAGAATTACCACAAAATTTTACGAGTATTCGACTTAATGCCTCCGAAGTTATTCTCGTGAAATTCCAAAAAATTCCCATGAAATTCCAAAATATTTACGTAAAATTATGTGGAATTTTCGCTAAATTTCCAAAAAAAATCCTGTAGAATCACATGGAATCCTTGTAAAATCCCAAAGAAAAAATCCTTAAAGTTCTGGTAATTTCAGTGGAATTTTGAAGAATTTCTATGCGGTATCACTTGGAATTCTTGTAAAATTGAAAGAAAAAATCGCAAAAATTTCCGTAAATACATAAAATTCTTGTGAAATTACTTAAATTTTTTATTGAATTCCCAAGAATTCTCGTGAAATTACATGGAATTCCCGCGGAATAACTCAAAATTTAAGTGAAATTCTGAAATAATATGAAATTCTCGTGAAATTCCGAAAAGTTCTTGTGGAATTACTTAATACTTTACCAATATGTGGAGTAAATCGGAACTTTAGTGGAATTTTAAAAAAAAATGCGAAATTTCAGAAAATTTCTTTAAAGTTGCTTGAAATTTTCGTGGAATTGAAAAAAAAAGTCTTCCCACGGAATAACTAGAAATTCCATAAAATTTCCATGAAATAATGTACTTGAAATTTCATTGAAATTCTGAAAAAATCCTGTAAAAATACTCGAAATTCTTCTGAAAATTCTTAGGTAATTTTACTGAAATAAAATTACAGTGAAGTGAATCAAAATCCTCGTGAAATTCCAATAAATTCACGGGAAACTACTTGAAAAATCGTATAAATAATTATGAAATCCAAAAAAAAATCGTGAAATTATTTTCTAAATTTCAGCAAAATTCGAAAGAATTTTTATGAAATAACTCAGAAATTCAGTGGAATTCCAAAAAAAAATTACGTGAAATGACCTGAAATACTCATGAACCATCAAAAAGTGATTTGTGAAATTACATGGAATCCTAAAAAAATCCTATGAAAATACAGAAAATTTCTTTGAAACTAATTGGATTTTTAGTGGAATTCCGAAGAATTTTTAGGGAATTCTGGTGTGCAATTTATGAACATTCCTGTGACATTCTATAATAAGAATTTTAGTGGAATTTTGGAAAATTCTTGTAAAATTATAAGAAATTCTCATGAAATATCAGGAATGTTCCTAAGAATTCTACGAACATTCCCGGAACATTCTATAAACATTTCCCGAATATTCTTTAAACATTTTCCAAAAAATATGTTGAAACCTTCTATAAATATTCTTGGAAGATTTTATAAACATTTCTAAAATATAGATTGCAAATTTTCAAAAAAAAAAAACACGTTGACACATTTCTGGAACATTTTTTGAACATTTCATAAACATCCCTAAAATAAATTGAAATTTTTTTGTCTTGATGTGACATTCTACGAACATTCCATAAACATTCCTGGAAAGGTACCCATTTTTTTGAATTTTAATTTCAAAATATTCTAACCTTAATTGCTCGGTAACCGTTGAGCAAATTGCATTGAAATTTTCAGCAATTGTAGCTTTTATTAGGCTTTAAATGTCCTGTAAATTACAATATTCCCAGATTTATAGCTTTTGAGCAAATTCAGTTTGAAGTTTTTGACAAAATTTGGACCAAAACTCAAATTGCTTAAAAACTATTTAAGCTATCAAACTCAATTTTGCACGTATTTATAGATAATTTAATGCGCTTTCCAATGATATATATTTTATTTCGGTTTGCTTGAAATTTAATAAAGATATAGGCTCATGACCATGTCAATATTTTGAACATTTTCCAGAGTCAAAGATAGAATTTCTTTTTTAATTTTGTTTCCGCTTATAATTGCCATTTGGAATTGATGTCAGGATTGTTTTTTATTAATTTTGACCTACTTTATCGAAAGGTAAATTCAAAATTGAGCAAAAAAAAGATCCCATTGAGTACAGAGAAAGTTCAGATTAGCCACGTGCTGCAAAGGCCCGCTCTTTCCCCTTCCCCCACCACAGCCACTCACATATAAATACAACTTACGTTCGGGAATGCGTCAGTCTGCTACCAGAATCGGACATGGACCTTTAAAGATGCTAGCGAAACGTCAGAAAGAAATTCCAACTTACGACGGCCATTAAGCCCGAATGAAAACACCTTATCAATAAATACAAAATACTTACCAATAATAGGATAATTAGGCGGCAACAGCCTGATATCTTGCAAAGCAATTTTGCCATTATCTCCATCATCAAATTCCACAGAAACGAATTTCCTGTCCAAATGAGGATCTGGAGTGCATGGTTCCGCAGCACTTCCTGGATAAAGGCATCGGTACTGCTGGCTCCAATAAGCACACAAACGTGTACCAACTGGTAGTTCTTCAGTGGTTTTTGGTGACACTTCAAGGATCTGAATTAAACAAGTAAAATTCCTATTTAAATATTTATAAGTGCGTCAGATGGCAACTAGAATTAAATTTAAATATTTAAAAAATTATCATTTTTCTTATAGCAAAACAGGTACTTTATAAGCATGAATTTGAGCCATTAATTTTCCATATTATACGATAGGGTTAATAAAAAAAATAATTATCGAGGATCTGTGACGGATAATATCTGTTTGCCAGCTCCTTATTTGAATTCTAGTTCCGCAATTTCCGACACTTTTGTTTCTATGCATGCATGCCCACACACCTCTAGGAAAATTAACATTTCGGTAAGATATAGGTGTGAATTGAATGCGGAATCCTCTGTCAATTCTTTAGTCAGAATCATCTCTTTCCAAAAAAAAAAAAAAAAAAAACCCCGACTTCTAATGTAGATGATTTAGAGGACCTTGTATGAGAATGACCCATAAATTATAAAACTCCATCTTAAATGGTTCCAAAGAGCAATAGAAAATGTGGTTCTACGCCACTGACGGCATTTTATTTACCAGGCCCATCTTTCATTTCTATAACCTTGTCGGACGCACTCTCGATGTGGTACAGGCAGGCCCAGGCTCTCTTATCTTGGCACTGATCTTGTGCCGCGGCCTGCGTCCTTTTCTCTCTTACACATTTTAAAATGTCCTTATAAATTATTCCGTCTCTTTCCGACGCAATGCCCCGTCATGCTGGTCTATAATGACAGGCGGTTTGTTACGTTTTACGGTTCTTTTCAAGTGAGAGGTACGAGTATATATTGGATGGTCAGAAATTGGTTTTATTATTAGGACTAAATCGAAAAATCAAAAAATTACTTACCGCATCTCTCAAAATCTCCTCCCTGGACATAATATGTGGCCTGTTGCCTCGTTCTCCGTCCAAAGTAATGGAATAAACATCTGGAGGTTCAACTGCGTTCAATTTTCCAGCATAAAATAATCCTCCCATGGCTGTCAGAACCCGCAATTTATCCACTGCCAAATTCTCTTCCAATAATGCACAAGGATTTGGAACTTCTGCAACTGTTTCTTTTAGATCATCTTCAAATTTAGCTGAAGATTCTTCTTTTTCCAATAAACCATCACTGAATATTTCATTTGAAGTATTTTCTTCGTCAAGTTCCTCATCAATATCTTCTTCAATATGATCAATAATGTCATTATCTTCAGCCGAATGCCATTCATCATCCTCTTCAACTCTGATTGTTGCTTCAGCCTTTAATTTAGGCCTCATTTTCGATGATTTGATTTCATCCACAATAATAGTATTATTGTTTTTGACTTTCTTCAATTTATGGGTATAAGTTTCTTCAACATATCTGGGAGGTGTTGAAGCGGATTTTTGCTGCTTGAGTTTTTCTTTTGCGGCTAGTAAGCAACCCACAAAATTATTTTTAAGTTTTTTGGCTACAATGGTTTCAGTTGTGTCTAGCTCGCCTGTGAACAAGTGCCGTTTGGGTCTTCCAACTTTTCGTTTTTTGGAAGACGAGCATTTTTCAGGTGACGAATCAGTTTCGGAATGCCTTCTTTTGTGGGTAACTTCTTGTACTACTGAGAGTTTTGGGGGACTCAAAACATCAGTTCTGAGAATCTCATTTGCAGGAAGATCGTCTACTTTTTCTAGCAATGGTGGTGAAATGGTGATACTTCTTTCAGATTGAGTTGATTTTTTTCTTGGTTTTTTCTTCGAACATTCGTGTGAATGTTTTTTGGGTTTTAGTTTACTTAATTCTTTTTGTTTTTCTCTGTATTCTTTTTGTAGTTCTGCCAGTTTCATTCTCATATCCAATTCCATTGCGTTCATGCAAGGCCACTCGCCTTTGCAACAAACGTTTTGTGGGGCTTTGCTTTCTAAAAACTTTCTCACTTCCTGCTCAGATTCTGGGGTTTTATAGTTTTTGTATTTGCAAAAGCATTTTTCTTTTATTTCAGTCTTGTCTTTTTCCTTTTTTTCTTTTCTGAGTTCTCTGTCTCTGTGTCTTTCTTCACTGGACCGTTTCATTTTCTTTCTTTTTGGCTCATCTGAATGGTGCTTTTTGGATTTGCGCTTCTCCCGCCTGCGGTCTTTGTGTTTTTTGTCTTTTTTTCCTGGTTTTTCGATGTTTTCTTCGAGTATTCTTTGCTCGGCTAAAGCACATAACAAATCTAAGCCTCCGAGATTATCGTCTACACTTATAGGGACTGTTGCGGTTTCTTCTTTAGTTTCTATGGATTCTTCAGATGATGTTATAGAAGAAGTTTCTGTGGATGTTGGAGTTTCAGTGGTTTGTTCTGTTCTACAACTTTCGAATTCTACAATACTGTTTGATAATAGTTCTAGACCACTAAGGTCAGGTTGTTGTGAATTTTTTTCTGTTAAAATTTCATTGGTTGCGTTTGCTACTTCAACAGTTGGTTCTGGTTCAGCTATAACTTCTTCATTTATATTATTATTATGAATAATGTCTTTGATTTTTTCTTCACCAATAACATCAGATATAGTGTGTGTAGTATTATCATCTTCACTACAAATAGGTGTATCAGTTTGATTACTAGCATCTTGTACTGTAGAGGTATTGACTATTTGGTCTTCTTCATGTATTTGTACTGAATCAGGTGGAGGTGTTAAACAAGCAGGAGAAGTAGCTTGCGATCTGCAAGAAGCAATTTCGGTTGTAGGTACTGGAGTTTGAGACACTATAAGATTTGTCGGGTGCTGATATATCACATGAGTAGTTACCATTGGTTGATCAGTAAAAACGGTACCAGTATTGCTTGCGATTGTACTAACAGTTTGCAAAGATTTATTTTGATCTAAGCCACCATCAGTTTCGATTTTTATTAGAGTAGTTGCTGGTAGAGGTAGAGGAAGTTTGCGTTTAGCATCAGTGGTTACAGCTACTAATCTAGTACTGTGAGTTTGGGTGTGTTGATGAAGCGTTGTACTACTCGATAAATAATCTGAAGAAGCTGAACTTAGCATTTGAAGGGGCGGTGGGGGCATTGACGATAGCGATGGTAGCAAGACTGATGACTGCTGCGGGTAGCTTGGCCAGACTACTGTTTGTTGGAGAGGTTCTGGAAAAAAGTTGAGTTGTTGGCTCATGATTTTGTTGGTGACGGAAAACACTAACCTATTCCAGTGGTAGTGGGTAGGAGTAGTAGCCCTCCAGTGGTTGGATCCCTGACTAATTGAATGCCCACTGGGGACATTGTGGGTACTGGGAGCGGAACCATTGGCTCCACTGGAACTGGCCCTAGAACAAAATGTGTTATTGAATAGGCATGTGTGTAATGTACGCGCCTAACACTTTATTGTAAACGTAACATAAGGCACCCTTTTAGTCATCATCCGATGGGTGACATGTTGAGTGGTAGGCTAAGATAATTAGGAAAATACTGGCAGTCTCTGGCAAAGATCCTCTATGAGAATGGATTGAGTTTAATGTTCTGAATAAATTGAATCTTCAAGAATCAAGTCCAGTCTTTCAATGTTGTGTACTAAAATACACAATAATGTGTTGGTATCAAATTCCCGAAAGGCTTTTTAATTGATGGAATCTATTCATAAATTTCAGTCAGCTGGTGGGGCAAGGCTAAACTGTCAAGGACAAAAGAGGGTCAGCGAGCGGGATGGTGAGGGGAAAATACAATTATTTCAGGCGGCTTTCATAAAAATTCCTGTTAGATAATTACAGATTGTTGCTGGGTTAGAATGAATGCTAATTTATGATTAAGTTGACATTTGATTTGAATTTTTATTGAAGAAAATTGGAATAGTTTATAGTTACAGAGTGTTGCAAGAAATCTTTCAGATAGATATATAATGCTAATGAAACAGCATAGAAATATTTTAATGGGATTGTAATTAGTATTGAAACTGGTAATTATAGGAAAATATGGCTTACAGATTATAATTATGGGTTGATGCTGGACACTGAGTATTGAATGTAATAGCAGTGCGTGGGTTAAAAATGCTATTTATTTGTTCGAGATTATCAATACTGAGAGTGCAAACTCATGTTAATATCAATGTGAAATGTTTGAGTGTAGTTGATGCACATCCACCACCAAAGGCTCTTAGGGGTAGCAGAGCAGCCACTTATTTTAGCTTCTCACTGAGTATTGAATGTAATAGCAGTGCGTGGGTTAAAAATGCTATTTATTTGTTCGAGATTATCAATACTGAGAGTGCAAACTCATGTTAATATCAATGTAAAATATTTGAGTGCAGTTGATGCACATCCACCACTCCTAGGGGTAGCAGAGCAGTCCACTTATTTTAGCTTCTCACTGAGTATTGAATGTAATAGCAGTGCGTGGGTTAAAAATGCTATTTATTTGTTCGAGATTATCAATACTGAGAGTGCAAACTCATGTTAATATCAATGTGAAATGTTTGAGTGTAGTTGATGCACATCCACCACCAAAGGCTCTTAGGGGTAGCAGAGCAGCCACTTATTTTAGCTTCTCACTGAGTATTGAATGTAATAGCAGTGCGTGGGTTAAAAATGCTATTTATTTATTCGAGAATATCAACACTGAGAGTGCAAACTCATGTTAATATCAATGTGAAATGTTTGAGTGTAATTGATGCACATCCACCACCAAAGGCTCCTAGGGGTAGCAGAGCAGCCACTTATTTTAGCTTCTCACTGAGTATTGAATGTAATAGCAGTGCGTGGGTTAAAAATGCTATTTATTTATTCGAGAATATCAACACTGAGAGTGCAAACTCATGTTAATATCAATGTGAAATGTTTGAGTGTAATTGATGCACATCCACCACCAAAGGCACCTAAGGGTAGCAGAGCAGCCACTTATTTTAGCTTCTGCTTGATTGCTTAAGCTATTGGTAAGGGTGATTTACGCATGATGATGAATACAGAAATTATTTTCTCCTTTATCAATAAGAACTAACACTAGGTAGTTAGGTTTGTGTAAAGCATAGTAACAGGAAAGCAGCGCCCACTATACATTAACATTATTCCTGGCACACATTTATCGCGTGATCTCTACAGAAACCTGTTGCACGGAAAACACCCATCAAATAAACCGTACAATTCTAACGTGCTGGTGGAGCCTTACCATGGCTTATCACAAACGAATCTCCAATACTCCAAAACATATTAGTCCGCGACCCCGGGACGGTTTTGAAAAAAGCAAAAATCACTACAACTACTGGCGTTACGCCGCAAAAGTACTGCCGCGAGAACGGTTTAAACGAAAGAAAAAAAAAAAAACGCGTTACCCAACAAAAACCGGTTAAAAACTGACTCAAGCGAAAAAGTGGCGGACTCACTCACCAGGATATTGCCACAACGTGGGCGTGGTCAAGGTCTGATTGTGGTTGCCGCCCACCTGCCAGGCCGCCAATCCCGCCATTCTATCGTCGGTACATTGCAGGATTGTTCCGCCTCCCGGCGCCGCCCCCGACGTTCCTGCAGCCATGCTAGCCACAGTCCCAGCATTGTCTGAAAAATAATTCCTGTGGATTAATACATCCCGGAAATCCACCCAAAAAAAAAACTGTTATCATCATCAATATTTTTATTGATTGCATCAAAACTGTATGTGTTATCAATAAAAACATCGATAGTGAAAGCTTTATCGCTGACTGAAAGATCTCTAGCATCGCCTCGTGAAAAAAATGATAATAAAGCGTTTTACAGCTCAAGACAGATAAAGGTCCTTGAGTTAGTGTGATGGTTCAACGAACCCGTAAATGGGTAGCTTATGCATTGCGTGTACCAAGAACTCGAGACGATTTTGCTCGAAGGTTGATGCTCATCTCATCAGTTGTTGTTGCGAGACCTCTATTGGGTAGTATTTGTAGGTAAGTACTTTTAATGAGACTTTATAACATTTAAATGGAACATAAATACTTGGTGAGAAACCATTCAATATTCACCTGTGTGGGTACCTACTAGATTAGAAAGTAAAACTCCAAATCAAAGTGTGGTTACACGTGTTTCGTCTTACTAAGACATCATCAGACCTAAATGTGTCAAAACTCACAATAAAAATACAAGCAAACACTTATGGCCGTTTGCACCGACCATTTTAAGGAACCCTTAGCGATAAAGTATTCCTTAAAATGATATTTTCACATGGAGAAATGTCACTTTTAGACACTTTAATGTGATGTTCATTTCACACTGTGTGTGTGTGCATCATTGTGCTTTTCAGCTTTGACACTTTTAGGTCTGATTATCCCTTAGTAAGATCTAACACGTGTAACCACCAATTGCTTATATCTGAGACTTTGACTCGGAGTTTTGCTTTCCTTTCTATAACATTCAAGTCTATAAGAAGACCATGGACTATTTCTTCGAGTTTGGATTAGAGTTTATGGATTTTGGTTACAGTTTTATCATGCTGGTGGTTGTTTTAAACCTCACAGGAATGAAACTTCTTACCGAGGTTTGTGTACTATACCAAAATGGCCTTCATTCACATTTTAGATACCTGTGATCTTGTAATGATTATTTTTTCACCCTTGAATATGAGTTCGTTGTAAACTGCAAGTTCGTCTCTGAAAGTTATGTAGTGCTTAATATTTTTGGGTACATCGTCTGAATTTGAAAATCCGTTTAATATGAATTTTCGTAGTAATTGCAGCTCAGGAGCAAATTTTGTAGAAAGGACAATTTGTATTTCTAATTCTTCCTCGTTTTCGAGATTTCCTCCAGTTTCTTCGCAATCCCTCACTTAAATTATCTGCTAAAGGTATATCTTTACCTTTTTTGTATATTATTTTGGGCGAATACTGTGATACTTCCAATAATATTCGTTGTAGCCTAGGTGGCAAAAAGTGAGTGGATTTTTTGATAATAGCTTCTAATGGCTTATGGTCTGTTTTTTATAGTGAGTATATATAGATATATATATATATATTATATATATATATATATATATATATATATATATATATATATATATATTGATGAAATTTTTTCTTTCTCAATTTGAGGCCAATTTTGCTGTGACGGTGTTAATGATCTAGTAGCATGCAATGGGTTGATTTTCTTATGCATCAAAGCAGCTCCTAAATTTTTCGGACTAGCATCTACTGATAATGTAACATCCTTGTTTACATCGTAAAATTTCAGAACAGGTGCACTAGTCAACTGTACCTTTATTTTGTTGCAAGCTTTGTCTTCTTCTTTGTCCCAAATAAATTCAACATCTCTTTTTAGAAGCTTCCGCAAAGGATCTGTAAGCTCAGACATATTTGGTATGAATTTATTTAAATATTATCATGCCTAGCAACCTTTGTAGTTCTGTTATATTTGTTGGTGTCTTGAGGTTTTTGATAGCTTGGTATCATGAATTTCAATACCATTTTCCGATAAAATATGCCCAAGAAATTTAACTCTTCTAACATTGAAAATGCATTTTTCCTTATTGAATTTCAATCCAGAATGTCCCAATGTTTCCCTTACTTTTTTAGTAATTTGTTCTACACCTTCCTGGGAGTCGGAATAGCTGAGAACATCGTCCATTGAGCAGTTTGGAATGTTTTTTAACAAGGAATTCATTATTTCTTGAAATATCTCTAGTGCTGAACAGATTCCAAATGGTAGACGAGTGCAACTATAACGCTCCCATGGTGTTGAAAACGTGAGATATTTTTGAGACTGCTCTACAACTTTTATTTGCCAAAACCCGCGCTTGCAATCTAAAAGTGTAAAATATTTGGCTGCACGTATTTGTGATGAAATTTCTTCCGTTTTCAGTGGATAGTGTTTTCTTAAAATGTTTTTGTTAACATCTGTAGGATCTATGCAGATTCTTAATTTACCTTTTTGCCTAACAGTTACTAACGGACTGACTCCAGGAGTAGGTTCTGTGACGGGCTCAATGACACCTAACTTAACCATATTTTCCAATTCTTTTTCCACTTCATTTCGTATGGCAAAGGGTATTTTTCTTGCAGGCCCTATTTCAAACTTTGGATTTTCTATGTAATCAATATTGTATTCATAATTTTTTAAACAGCTCAATCCTTGAAAAATGTTATCATTGGACTTTGTTGTCTCGCAGGAATGTATACGTACAATTAAACCTAGTTCGTTAGAATGGGCTGCACCTCTTCATTAACTATCTTAAATTATTACACCATAGTTGTTGATGGTTGAAGAAACATTCTATCACAAAAACCCACTATTTCTGACAAAAATTTAAAAAGTATTTCTCCTTTTCCCCACTTATATATTTAAATAAACATTAGATAGGAAACACAATCTTTTTATGATCCATTTATTTGGTGCCACTTTTATTACTACTGGGTATTCAAAAGTACCTACAAGAAGTTGTAAAAGATAAAAACTGATCTGTATTCAAACATAGACTTTATCTGCATTCACGAAGGTACTATACCTTTAAAGTAGAAACTTGATGAAGTGTTTAAATAAGGACTTGCATTGTCTTGTCTGGGGAATTGTCAAGTCGAGTAACAAACCACGTAGGTGGGCTATTATGGTTATTGGTTATAAAGTGGCAACCTAAAAAGGCTTTTGGTCCAACACGAACTTTTTCATATAAGCTCCAATTAAATAGGCTTATAAATTTCATGGTTTTAATAATATGTAGTTATCGTACAAGCTCATCGCAACTTGTGGTGTGAATACATAAAAGGAAATATTTTCGCACCTGCCTCTGCTTTCACAAAGGGTAATCATATTTGAATGTAATGTAAGAGAAACGAATTTTGAGCAAAAATAATAAATGCCACAAATTAGCCTTGAAGTAGCATATAGAAAAATGTTGCTCATGCAATTTGTTTAATAAGGCAGGCCTGCACTATAAAGGTTAGTAATAAATAATGCCGCCATGACATGTCAATTTGCATTGCATATATTTAGAATAATAATTATTATTATATGAATTCAAACAGGGCGATGAGAGTCCAACACAGAAGTCACATAGAAATCAGAAGCCATATATTACTTTATTACAATAATTGCTCTCCAATTATCCAAACTAGACCAACTTTCAAGAAATCGCATATAGGTATCTTCATCAAATTTTCCAATCTATTTCACAAATAATTATTATTGATCGACTTGTTATAATCAATTTTCTAACGTAGGTATTTTGTTATGACATTTACTATTACAATATTTTCTTGGTTTAGTCGTTGTGACCGTTGCGTAACTAAATTGTGAGTAAATGCAGTATTTTACGAAAGGTTTTGTGTTCAAAACTATGGACAGTTTAACAAGAATATAGCAGCCTACTCATCCTCCAAAAATAAATCAAATTTTTGCCAATCAATACATTCAGAGGTTATTAGTGATGAAAAAGTGTGGAACTTTGATTTGGCCAACAGTTTAGGTACATAGATAATGATCTAGTGGCAGTCAAAGTTACTTGCCCAATAATAGCACAGAAACATTTAAAACTCGTCTTAAAAACGTATCCGATTGGATGTCAGGCCGATCAAAAAACGTCAGTTTAAGTAACTGAGTACGTCACAACTTCAAACGTCATATAGACGTCGAAAACGGACGTATTAAAAACGAGTTAATATGAACGTTTTAGAAGAACTGACGTTTGGAACATCCGATGGGTTCTAACGAGTTCTGTGAGCTATTTTTGGATTATTTTTTAGTTCAATCGTACTCGTTGTGCTATTAGACTGAAGACACAATGACAAATACAAGGTACACCTGAAAATTAATTAATTAAAAACACGTGTATCAATGCTATAACCCAAAATAAATGGAACAGGATACAATTTACTTGCCATGTCACGATACAAAATTTCGAGTTTTTGGTATTTTGTATCCATCTCTTGTACTTGTATTTGCCATTTTGTCGATTCAGGATACAGTGTGGCTTTCACAAAGTAAAATGAACAAGCAAGAGAAAAAAAAATACTATAAAAATATAGTGCTATATGAAGGAGCCAATTGCCAATTAACTGGTTTTCACGAGGGTATTCATCAAAAATATGACTACTTTAAGGCCCAATTTATTCATATTCAGATAAACTTAGGGCCAGTTTCACAAACAGCGGTTACCCAACAGTAACCACAAGACACTGGATAACCCGCAACATATCTGGTTTCATCCAAAGTTTAAGTTATTTAACTCAATTTTTATAAAGGAAAGTTGTGGTTAACCCGCAACTGTTTGATAAGTAGTGCAGGTTACCACCCAAGGGTGAAACTGGGCCTTACTGGTACATAACTGTCCACACGATAAATTTACCAATCTATGATCCTATTGGTCGGTGGATAACTGGCTGACCAACAGGATTATAGATTGCAATTTTATCTGTCACATTGTATTACCTGACAGTATCAGAAGGTGAATAAACCGAGCCTAGAAATATAAAAGAAAATCATATTGCTGACACTGTGTGTTTTGGACATAGAGATTAACTACAGAATATGTGATGACACTCGAGTTTGTTTTATTCATTTAACGAGGATTCTTGGTTTAGGCAGAAGAAAACACAATTTTC